TTCTTCTTCTTCGTCGTCTCGTCTCATGCGCTCACTCAACCAAGGGTTCTAACCTCGCCCTCCCCACCCCCCAACCATTCACATTTCTGTAGGCAGGAATTATGTGTAATGAAATTCTAATGAGCCGCTTTGTGACATCACAAAGCCCGGAAACAAACGCTGTAGTCCAAACGAGCCGTTCGTTGTAGTTCTTGAAAAGGGATTTTTAAAAAAACGAAATATCTCCCTTTGGAGTAGACTTTGAGATTTGTAACTTTCTTACAGATCTTTTTTATGCCCAAACATACACACTACACACTGACTAAAATTAAAAAAGTGAAAACGCATAATAGGACCCCTTTAAAATAGCTTGAATGCAACTCTACACCCTTGCCTCATTTACTATACAGTACGTGGATCTATGAATATGCAAATTAGCCCCGCCTCCACTCAGTCACACAGCAGCCAGTGCCTCCTGAACTGTACTGAACTGTAGTAAGCGTGATGCAATGGCAAGAGGAAATATTGGTTGAATTAAGCCATATGTGTTTGAACCATAAATAAGCTGGTATGCTCAATGTAAGCAAGGAGACTGATGGCTAACTTCGTGAGGTAGCATTATGTGTTTGCGCTGGTTCGTACTCGGATAATGACTGATAAAACTGTTTTTAATACAGTGGATACTGTAACATTCGTTAAATTTACTTACTTGACGATGTTGTGTCCTCAAAATGCCTTGAAGACTCAAATCCAGCCAAGTTTGTGATTCCAAATCACGCCGGCGATCATACGCGTGTGACGTGCGGATGTCAATGCGGCTACTTTTACACTGCTGCCGCGGGTTATTATTCAAGTTAGCGGTTCTAAATACAAATAAATAAGCACTAACAGCACATGACATCGTGAAAATAGGGGAAAATATTAACAGTTATTGAAAAATCTGATTGGCACATGGTTTGTCTAAAAGCATATTAAAATCAACACAGAGACAAATAAACAATATAAAAAACTTGATTTTCACCACAGGGGGACTTTAATTAGTTTAGCTTGATTTACTAAAATAACTAACACTAAAAACCGAAATAAAAATTTTGAAAAACTAGATAGACACACACACACATATGTATATATGTATATATATATATATATATAACAACAAACTAATAAACTAAAGCATTAACAAATGAAAATTTAAAATATAAAAATACAAATGAATTTAAAATATTAGTAAAAAACTAATATAAAAATAAAAATGAAAGCCCCCTGCTGGGACATGAAAGTGGCGTTGTTGCAGAATGGCATCATGGGAGCAGCGGCGCAGATGAGACGAGATCTGCTTGAGCTTGAGTTTAGTGTCTGTCCTCTTCCTCCTCAGCGTAATATCTTTTACTTTCTGACCTCAGTGTATCTTCAGAGCGTCTGATATCTATTAAAACCCGCCGGCTGCCGCAGGGCTTCAAGGTGGCAAACGTCCAGACATCATCATAATGAGAGGATTGTGATGTAGATGCCATCATCTCGCTCTCTTTATGTTTGTTTAATGGTCTGTCTGTAATCACGTCTCCAGTTGCCCTTGTGTTTGTGTGTTTCCAGCGTTCCAGTGCAGTAATTAAATAGGACCGGCCGGGAGCTGTGTGTGTGTGTGTGTGTGTGTGTGTGTGTGTGTGTGTGTGTGTGTGCGTTGTAAGTGCAGACAACATGGTTTACACAGCGTTCGTTTGAGAATATTGTATACAAAGTGATCAGCTAACTAATTAACGGACTACATATGACATGCAGATGTATGTATATAACCATACACACACTTTCATATAACATGCATTCAAACACCCATATACAGTATATATATATATATATATATATATATATATATATATATATATATATATATATATATATATATATATATATATATATATATATATATATATATATATATATATATATATATATATATATATACACATACACATATATACGCATATATACAAATTCTCGAAGGCATTTACAACCCACACGTCACTCTTAAGATACTTGACAGCAAAATAATTTAACTGATTAAAACGTAGAATATACAAATACAAGAAGTTACTTGTGACTATTACACCTCTTATCTCTCAGGATGCTGCTTGTTCCCTAACATAAACATAAGCAAGAACTAAGCAAAGGCAGTAGTACAATAACCTAATTGTCGGATATCTTATAATTCTTTGTTGAAAAATTAAACGATATATACAATTATTTAAAACTCTCTAATCTTGACCCCTACGCCAATAAGAAGTTAAGTCAAAATAGTTAAATAAGGTTTTTATTATTATTTTAAATTTTTGACACAATATCAAAACTTATCACAATATCCATGGCATTCGATCATTCTAGTTTAGACACCACAGCAAACGCTAACATGCTACTGAACACACACCTTTAGTTAAAAATAACACATTATATTTTAAAGATGGCAAATGCATTGCAAGTTTTCTGTTATATTTTTTCAAGTTTTTTTCAATTTTGTAAAAAACATTTCTGCAAACAATTTCCAGTGTTTTCTTTCCTTCACCCTTATTTATTTTTTGTTGTTAGACTTATTGTTTAATTAATTAATTAATTTAAAAAAACAATTTTATATGGATGTTCAGCATTTTTATATAAAGTTTTGTATTTATACATGCTATTTGTGTACATGTACATTGAGAAGCTACTTTTAAAGTCGCTATATAAAATAAAGTTTTTTTTTTTTTTTTATGATTTGCACTATGCAATTCTTGTACATTTACACTTGAATTATGAATACCAACAAAATCAAATGATGATCCTGGTGTGTGTTTGAATGCACTTAAAGACTGTTTAGTGTTTCCATACGCGGGACGCGGGTCTGTGTTCAGATGATGTGATTGGATTCACGCTGTGATGAATTGAGGTCCGTACAGCACAATATGATCCATACGGCCGAGAGCGGTCCATCTGAGAGTCCGTGGCGTCGGGCTTCACTTTAATGTGTCCTGCAGGGACGAGATCCTCACGATCTCCAGCGCTCACATCATGTGTCTTGATGACAGCCGTAGAGTCCGATTAAATGAATCGATGTCTGCTGCAGCGGCCGAGAGATTTAATGAGACGACGTCACAGTGAGATCAGCAGAAGATCTGCGGAAGATGCTTTCTGTCACAGGATAAAAAATAATAAAACAGGTCATTGCAACTTATCTCACAATTCTGACTTTTTCTGAGGATATAAACACAGAATTGTGAATTCTGAATTGTGAGATAAAAAGTAATTCATTTTTTATTGAATTGTGAGATATAAATTCAGAATTCTGAAAAAAATGTCAGATATAAATTCCAAATTGTGAGATAAAAAGTTGCAATTCCTTTTTTTTTTATTCCATGGAAATAAAACCGAAACAAACAAACTCAAAACGGAAACAAAAAAAAAGAATTGCAAGATTCAAACTCAGAATTCAGCAAAAAAAAAAAAAAAAAGTTAGAATTGCAAGATATAAATGCAAAATTCAGCTAAAAAGGCGACTGCGAGATATAAACTCGCAATTGCGAAAAAAAAATCCAAATTGTGAGATCAAAAGTTACAATTACCTTTTTTCTATTCTGTGGCGTCAAGATGTAATCAAGATATAAAATCAGAATTTAGAGAAAAAAGTCAGAATTGCAAGATATAAACTCTGAACTCTGAGATATGAAATGCAAGATAAAAACATGCAATTCCGAGAAAAAAAGACAGAATTTTGAGATAAAAAGTCATTACCTTTTACCAAATTCCCTTTTTTATATTTATTCCGTGGCGGACACTGAACTGAACTATGAGACATAAACTCAGAATTCAGAAAAAAGTCAGAATCGTGAGGAACTCTCGCTTGTGGAAAAAAACGTCGATTTGTGAGCGAAAGTCGCAATTACTTTTATATTTTTTTTATTCAGTTGTGGAAATAAAAAAAAACTGAATTGCGAAGTAGAAACAAGCTTCCATAGAATAATGTCTGTGAATGGAGTTCCTGTCAGAAATTACGTGAATTGAACATTATGCTTTTCGTTAAGACTTGTTTTCAGAGAATATACCTTGAGGTGTGTGTGTGTGTGTTCAGGGCGCGTCCTCCAGTCTGGTGGTGAAGTTTGCAGACACCGATAAGGAGCGGACCCTGCGTCGGATGCACCAGATGGCCGGTCAGCTCGGCATCTTCAGTCCCATGACCATCCAGTTTGGAGCGTATGGAGCTTACACACACGCTGTGAGTCTCACACACATTACCAGTCACCTTTATGAGGTTCTGTTTGTGCCACAAAAGTGCTTTGTACTAAACTGTAGATTTGTCCATGTCTACGGTCATTGCCTACCTGTAGAGCTCTATGATTTCATATTTCAGAGCTAAAGCTTAAAACAAGGATGCCAGTGGCATCAAAAAACTTGTTTTCCATTTGAATTAAGTTTTTGTTCTTTTTATAAAGTGCATTTTCTCACCCTATTAGCAGATATTAGTTGATAAATAATATCTGATGTCATTTTGTGTCTCAAGTAAATGTATCTCGATCTAAGAAGGTTTCGATGTTTGTGCTTGAAAGCGATGTACATCTGTGTGTGACGTGCAGCAGATCATGCAGCAGCAGCAGCAGCAGGCGGCGCTCATGGCAGCGACGCAGGGCTCGTATCTGAACCCCATGGCTGCCATCGCCGCCGCTCAGATGCAGCAAATGGCAGCTTTCAACGTCAACGGCCTGGTGGCTGCACCCATGACGCCGTCTTCAGGTACACACACACACTCACACACACACACAC